ACTGTATTCACCAGAACATTACTAGCCCAGGCTGGATTAAACTGACCTTGTGAAAAGCGATTCAAGTTTATCTTTGAATTTTGTGCAGGCTGGGGAGGAGAAAAAAAGGTTTTTGATTCTGTCACATGTAACTCAAATATTGCCAAACAGGTTGGCTTGTCTTAACTTGCAAGCACCTGGCACAGAAACAATCTATCATTTTGAACACTCCTATATGCAGTAATACTTTCATTTAACTATGACTATGCTGGCTGCATTAGAGGGTGGTGTAATTCCCACATGAGATAACGCTGTGTTATCAGTCACCTTTGATACTGGATAATCACCCAGTATCAAAGGTGACTTTAGTTGTTTCACTAAGATTAAGTTTTTACACCCCTTGTGATTTTTACCGTGTTGCCAACACCCTACTCTGTCTTGAAGTTAGACTTCTCTGACTTCATGTGATTATCTTGGGAAGGTTTCCAGGTACGTTTATGTGGGATTATTACCTGAGTGTATTTTCTTCCCTGCTTACTCAAGTGGTGTGTCCAGATCATCTTTCAAGGAGCCTATAAATATGTATATTGTAGCCAAATAAATTCAAATATGCAGCTCACATACTTGACTTCTTTCTCCTGCTTCTCTGGAGACATGTTTGCAGTGTAACCTCGCAGTTTCTCTCCCATTTCACATAGCAGGTAACTACAACCAAAATCAACTATCAACTTTTAATTTTTTTTTACAGAATGTAAAAGATATCCACATTTAAATTTCACAAGAATTTTGTTTTGTGAATAAGAGAGAGAAGGTCTTGTCAAGTTATATGAGTTAAAATGAGGTGGAGTCAGTGTATGGAAGAAAGGCTCTGGGTCTGTCCCCTCCCTCAGAATACGACGCTGGAAGGAACCCTATTCAACAGAAATATAATATTACATAACTCTTTTAATCAAGCCTTATAATTTGCATACATCCCTCGTTGTATGTCATATATAATACAGAAGTCCCTCCCATGAACTAAGAGGGGTCTGAATATGGACAACTTGCATTTTTAGATATATATGCCTCTGGTACATTGGGATATTACAGATAGTTGCATTAAAATGTAGTTTTAACGTATTTTTCTTAAAACTTCATGGTTAAAAAAAGAAAGGGTACTTTTAAATTTAACAGTAACTTTTTGTTTAACAAGAACTTTTGCTAAATATAGCGTTTTCTATTTGGAATACAGGACTTGTTATTAGAGGTTGGCTCATAGGTTCATTTCCTTTAACATCCTTTTCTGACATTAACCAGCATAGTAAATTTCAGAAGAAAGCATGTGAAATCACAAGGGTGGTTATAACTTTTTTCTCAGTAAAATTATAAAGAATTTACAAGTAACTGTATTCTAATGCTCAGCTATATCCACATTCATATTTTAAATTAATAACATAAATGCAGACAGTATCCTGAATTTTAAAAATGCAGAGGAATTTTTGTTGCTGGAAGCCAGGTTAACTTTCTTTCTCTTAGTTCTTTTCAATCTTCAAGACAACAAAAGGTGATGAAAAAGTCTTTGTGGTGAATCCCAAGACCAAGATATCCCCAAGGCAATGTGGTTAGTGCAGAACCAAGAAAAGCACTTCGTTCTGTAGATAGAATCCAGTCCTTTTAATAAGCGAATACAAGCCTATTAAAAACTCATCTTTAAACAAAACAAGCCAAAGCAAAAATAGCACCAGGTAGAGATTTTGTTGGATTTGCAGATAAATTCTCTCACGGCTCATGCAGCAGGCTTTGTCTCTGGGCCCCAGGTGCTGCCGTGCTGATCACACGCCAGGACCACACAGGTGCTGAGGAGGAGTTTGGTTTTTATTTAACAGCCCTTCTTGTGAATCGAAACAACACCAAAAGTCAAAACGTGAACGTTTGAACCCCTCTTCGGTTTGCTGTTTGGGGTTTTTTAATCCCTACAGACACCGCTCAGGTAAGAAAAAGGAGGAAAAAGCAGCAGCGATGCGCGGGAGCCGCGCCCGCGCAGGTGAGCGCTCCGGCTCGGCGGCAAGGAGGGAGGGGACAAGGGACAAGGGGAGGGCTGTCCCCCCGGCCCCGATGCCGGGGCGGGCCGGGGGAGCTGAGTGGATGTGTCCCGCGTCAGTCAGGGGCAGGGCCGGGCCGGGGGATGGCGGTGGGGATGGCGGCCCCCGCCCGCAGCGGGGCGGCACTGGCGGAGCGGCGGCGGCAGCGGCGGCAGCATGAGGGCGGCGGCAGGGGTAGGGCGGGCAGCACCTGCTCCCGGCAGGGAACGGGGGAACGAGGGACGGACAGACAGACAGACAGACAGGGAACTCTCCACGGGCTGGCTGCTGCCCCGACGATGGGGCACGGCGACAAGCCCGCGGAGGGAGCTCCATCTGTTTTTTTTCCAGGACGTGGTGGGCATCCTCATCCTCTGCCTGGTTTCTGCGGCGGCCGCGCTGGACTTTAAGTACCACCACACCGAGGAGCTGGAGGAGTACCTGAGGGGGGTTCATGCCTCGTACCCCTCCCTCACCCACCTGCACAGCATCGGGCGATCGGTGGAAGGTAAGGGCGGCGGGACGAGGGGAGAGAGGATTTTTATTCTAATTCAATGGGGGCAGCTGTGGGTAAAGGTGGCGTTTCGTGGGTGCTTGCTGGCTGCGGGGCTGCTCTAACAAACCTCCGTGAAGTTTCGTCTTCCTCTTGCTTAAGCGTGAATAACACACTCTGGCTGAAGCATCATATGTGTCATCAGGGTAAAAGTTCTCCCAACACTTACGTTTCTGAGAATTGGAAACGTCCTGAGTGGCAATTTCAGAAAGAGGGCAGTCTTTATGGAGCGTAGAATATTTGGGACCCCTTTACCATTTGGGGGGGGGGGGAAGAAGTGGCTAATTTTTTAAAAGATTAGTGTTTATTAGCATGTGGACTTTAATGTATATCTGTTTAATTTTAAGCAAAAAAAAAAAACAAAAAAAACCCAAAACCACAACAAAACCAACCAAACTGCTTTATTAAATTTCAGTTCAAGAAACGAAATCACTCTGAGAAGAGCTATAAAACTAGATAGAAAATCCATTCTTTAAAAACATCATCTGTTCCTCTAATCCCATTTTTTACCACTGGAAGGAGCCATTTGTAGCATCTATTATCAAATGCACATTTGTGTTTAAAAAACTAAAAATCTGTATTCCTCTTGGTAGATGATGATGAAGACATTTTCATGCCTTCTCCCTTGCTTTACCATGTATCTCAAAGTAGACAAGGAATCGTAAAATTATTTAAACTGTGTTGCTTTTGGTTTCGTCAAAGGCAGAATTAGATTGGGTTATGTTATTCATCCATGCAAGAGGTTAGTTCCTGTATGTACAGTTCCCTCCAGTGCAAACTAGCAATTATCCACATCCTCATTTTCATACCTTTAGAGAACTTTGCTAACATTCTGATGATAGGACTAGATTATGACTTTTCTGCAAGGAACTCAGCTGGCTTATCTTTGTGTGGGTAGGCAAAAACCTTTCATCCAACCTGAGAGATTGAAACTTTGGCTTTTACATATCTAGATTCCTGAAAGCTGATAACATAAGGTGTTCAACTTGTCTGAGTTCCATCAGCATAAAAACTGGAAAAGCATCATCTCTTGATTGAGCAATGCACTGAAACATCATTCAGATTTTGATATATTGCCTTCTGCTTTGCCAAACTCGGAGAAGAGAACTGTGTGGGCTCTCCTTGTTATTATTCTCAGTGCCATGTAAAGCAGAATGGCAGTGAAAAATGTTAAGTGCTGCTCTATTCTTTCAGTTTTGTCTAAATGTTAGGAGATTTCTACCTTTGTTGAGAAATGAGCTTGCAGAGTCACCTAGAATATGGTAGGGGATGGTACTGAATTAGGGTCTTATCTGGGGGGAGATTTAATCATACTGAAAAAAAATTTTATGACAACAGTGGTTATAGAATTTTGGTGAAAATAAAGTTTAAATTTTGGTCCATGGGTTGAAGTTCTGTTCCTCTATTCTCAGTTAAGCTGACACAAGCAAGACTGTCTGTGCATGCACACACTTGTATGGGTTTACTAGTGTTGTCCTCCTGCCAGTTAGCTAAACCATGATAGCAAAATGTACTTCTTGATGATGAGAAACAGAAATTAATTTAAGTACTATAGAACTGAGATCAATGTGATGTAGTAAGTTGATACTCTAGATATGAACATTCTTGATGATGAATACAGTATCCCATGGATCAAAGTAACACCTATAAAGCCAACAGACATTATTTTACTATTACCATGAAAGGCTGTTGTTCCCATGTTATTTGCTAATCAATATTTTACTCCAATTTTATCTAATAATCGAGTATTTTATACTGCCATCTAGAATTGTGTTATGAAGAATGTGAAGTAAAGGCTTGACTTTTGGTAGGTGTGAGTAGGTTCAGAGCTCTGAAAGGATATAAAAATCCAGCTCTTAGAAGTTGTGGAGGGTGATAGGGACCTGTGTATTACCACTTCAGGAAGTGATTGTATGTAGTTCTTTAAAAGAAGCATCTAAACACTCTTCATGTTGGAAACCTCACCTGCTTCAGGCAGATCATAAAGTAATTTAGGTCTGAAGGCTATCTAGTTTGAGTTCCTGTTCAAAGCCAGGCTCACTTGAAAGTTAATGATGATGCTCAGGGCCCTCTCTGCTCTACTTCTGAATATCTGTAAGGGTGGAAGTTCTACAGTGTCTGGGTACCTGAGCCACCTTGCAGCCCTTGGGCTGCACAGCTGCACAGTCTGCAGTCTGTACCTGAATGGGGCTAGTTTATTGATCTGATAATCCAAATATGGGGGTCTTTTGTTCCAGATGCAGGATTTTGCATTTATCTTGGTCAAACTCCGTGAGTTTGCTGTCAAGAAATTCCTTCAGCTTATCAGGGGCCCTCTGAATGGCAGCCCTGGCCCTGATGAAGGTATTTAACAGCATCAGCCCCAGTACTGACCCTTGAGGAATGTTGCTAATGATTTGCTGCCTCTTGAATCACCAATTATTCAGTCCAGTCAGCTTCTGACCTTACTGTAGACTCTTCCTCTAATCCATATGTTCCCAGCTTGTTTATGAAGACACCATTACATTGACTGGACACTGGAACAGGCTGCTCAGGGAGCATCCTTGGAGATATTCAAAAGCTGTCTGAACACAGCCCTGGGCAGCTGGCTGTAGGTGGCCCTGCTTAAGGAGAGAAATTAGACCAGGTGACCTCCAGAGGTCCCATGCAATTCCTGGATCTGTGGTTCTGTTGAAAGCCTTGCTAAAGAAATAGGGTGCTTTGCTTCATCTCACTAAGCTATTGCTGCATAAAACTCAAACAGTCAAGTGTGATTTGTCATGGATAAATTTGAGGTGAGATTTACATAGTGTGTTTATTTGATGCATGTAGACTGTAATAGTGATGTACACAGCAGAACCTGTACCAAGATCCTCAGTGTAAAACAGGGGAAAACGCTCAATTTGTTTTGTGGTGGTTTACATCACCATGTAGAAATTCCCTCCTGCCAGATTGCTAGGAGCACTTCTGCCAAATTACTGGGCACAATGTGTTCTAGACTGGCAATGGCCTGTTCAGTCTCCAGATCTGATATGGAAGCTATGATATTTAATTATGTATCTCATCTGCTAAGCTATTATCCTTAAATGAGGGGAGAAAGGAGCTTAAAATATGTAGCTCATTGGCTGACAAAACTGAGTGTTACCTTTTGGGCTAATTTAGTAGATATCCTCACATCCCTCAAGATTTGTAGGTGATTTGTCTGTGAGAAACCTGATACAGTCTTAGCAGCAGTTAGGTAGAGATGTGTGATGGCCCAGAAAATACCTTAATTCTTTTATATTGTTTCAGCTCTGTTGTTGAATAAAGTTATAAAAGCTTTTTGTCAGGAGTTCAATTTTCTAATATGTCCAATATCCAACCTCAGTGTGTGCACTCTGTAATAATAGAGGAATCTGCAGAGCTGCATCAGTCTGGGATGGGAGAATGGGACCTGGTGTAATCATATTAACCCATCCTGCCTACTGCCACCCCAGTGAAAAACAGACTGACTCTTCAGCAAGCAAATCTTAGAGTGCATTACCAAAGACAAAATAGTCAATGTATGTGTATGCTCTATGGCTTTTCATTGTTCAAGATGCAGTGCTGCTGTTATTCTTTGAAAAGAAAATGAAGGTGGTGGGAAGCCAACTTAAGGATTCTAACAGACCTGATGACCTCTTTAGGATAAAAACAAACAGGTATTGGAAGAGCAGAGTAACTTTTGTAGTAGATACACACTCTAAAAAGTTTTTTCAGATACACTCTGGATTGAGATAAAGTGATAGCATGCTAATTACAGCGTGGTTTAGATCTAGATTTTTATGGAGGCCAGTCTGCATTTTTGGAATTCCAGTCAACTTGGGGCAGTTGTAAACATCCTCAGGCCAGATTCTGCTCACTGAGGGAAAGGTTGTGTATGGTTAAAGTATCCCCTGTCTTTACCTAATGAAGCTTCAAAGTTGACTTTATGTATTAATATCCCTTTGCCAGATTTTATCACTGGAGAGACAAAAAGTAAAACAAGCTGACCAGACTTTGTTCTGGTTCCACTAGAAATTCTCAGAAATACCTTGCCAAAGAGCTGTCCTGAAAGCTTCTTTGGTTTATGTGGCTTAGTCATCCAATTCTGATGCTTAGTGAACACCAATATCCAGTTGCTCTCTCTGTTGTCCTTGGACGGACACAATTCTATTAATCTTAAACACTTTGCTAACTTTGGGGGAAATTTTTTTTTGTTTTGTTTTGAAGTAGTGCGCCTTGCTTATTATCATTTACAGAGCTATCCCTGCTCTGTAAACCACAGTGGCTGAAATGTGCAGGGGGTGTGTGTATGTTTGCAGTGGGGTTTATAGTTCGTGGCTGCGTGCATGGATTGTGCTGTGGACTATGGGGAAGGAGCAGGCCAGGTTTCCCAGTGACTAGGTGCCTGCTGGAGCACATTATGTCTCCTTCCTGCCTGCATTCGTGTCTTCCTCCTTGGAAAACAGGAGGGAATGAGCATGCCCGGGTTTCCATCTGATAAGCAGCTGTGACTTCAGCAAAAGGGTGTGCTAGGGATTAGGACTCAGGTGTATTGTATGCAACATGTGCCTGGTAATACAGACAATAGAAAACATAGGTAATTAACCTAGGTGGTTAATCCATCATTCCTCATCAACATCAGTGGAATGTGTGTCCAAGGTGTGCCAGAGGTCAACTTAAATACAGTGTGATTGATGCCTTTAGGCACTTATGGGCGGTAATTGAACAGGGGAGTACTGATTTAAGGTTCACTGCACTTCAGTGAAAATACTCAATAACAAAAGGCCAGGAAATGTACTTGTCTCATGTACACATTAATAGTCTGTATATGTAGCTGGGGGAAAATAGGAACTCATTTTAAGTTATTTATTGTGACATAGTATGGAAGGAGCCTGAGTTACTACCATCAATAGTAAAGTGCATTGGAAATTTTATTGAATTTACATTACAGACTTTTTTATATTCTGGATGAT